CAGACAGAAACTATGGTGCCTGCCTATGCGTAAAAGAAAACTTCACAATTTCTCCAAACATAGAAATGTTTGAACCACGTCCTGTCAGATAAGTGGAGGGGGACAGACTGTGCAAAGAAATGATTAGAAAGACCCAGATGTGCTTAGAGAACTCAAGTAATTTAGGTAAGGCCAGGGAATAAGAATGCTTGGTAGATGGCATGAGAAAGAGGGGGGGAAATATTGCATAGGTGTGTCTGGTTCGGGGTGGTGAGGGTGACGGAGTGGAGTGGATATTAAAGCCAGAAAGATATGCAGAAGGCTCTTAAAAAAAACCCCTATTATAGAATTTGGATTTTATCTGTTAAAGAGGTTTTAAGCATGGAAATGATATAATCAGATTTGCTATTTAGAAAGATCCCTCGAGAAGCAATGTGGAGAGTGGATCAGAAGATGGGGGCTTGTGAACTGAGACAGTAAGACGAGAAGGCGAATTAAACTGACTTACCGTGGAGATTTCATTAAGTGGAGGAAGGCATCTTAGGCTGACACGCAGGTGGTAAGCACGGCTGAGTGGGTGTTTGAGGGGGATGTGCGCTAAGCTGGGAAGACAGAAGAAGCTGGGCTAGAGTTAAGCAGAGGATTCAGTTTGGACCATGGTGGAAGATGAAATCTTTTTTCCAACAGAGAAGTTAACAGCGGCTTCCCTGGTTCCCACCAGCTCCGGTTCTAGTGTGTTCCATCCGGAGGTGACATCTTTTTACTTCTGGCTTTACTTGACTCTGTTACAGATAGTCCCTAGTTCTAATTGTTTTGGGTACTTAGTTCCACAAGGGAAGAGATACTTATTTGCTCTGCAGATGGACAGAGTCGGGAAACTCTGTTACAAGTTCCTGTGCTGAGAAACCGGTGGCATCACTTTTTATTAACATTGTAGAGGGGAGGTGTGAGTTTTCCGGAACAGTAAATAAATGAATGCACACGTGCATACAGCTGGGCTTTGGAATCATCCATCTCTCTCCATCCATTTCTATTTGTGGCGTGCCTACAGGGAGCCATGACTGCAGACACTTGGGGGAGACAACAAAAAAGTAAACGAATGAAGAAGTCCTATACTGTCAGAGAGTGATGAGAGCATTGAGAATGAGTCAGGGCAGCAGGACAGAGACGTGGGGGATGTTTTAGGTAGGTGATAACTGATGAGAAGTAGCCACCCACACAGAGATTTAGGAGTGGAGCAAGCGTGCTGGTCTGTCCAGCTGAAGATCAACAGAACTGGAGGGCGGTAAACGAGGGGGAGAGAGCTGGAGGAGGAGGGGTCGGAGCTGGGGGAGGTCCAGGGGACCCTCATAGGTCAAGAGAATGACCTTGGATCTTACACTAAGAGGGAAGGGGAGTCAACTGTTGGATTCACGCAGGAGAGAAATGTGATTTGACTTAGGCGTTAGAAAACCCATTCTAGTCATTGGTCAGAGAATGGGCCCAAATTGACAAAGGGAGGGTTTAGGGAGACCAGGCAGGGGACAGTTGGAAAGATGAGATAGTTCTTGTTTGGGTGTTTCTATTTAGAGAAATACTAAGGAAGGCAATCAGTCGGGAGAAAGCTAAGAGTACACCTGATATCAAGGGAAATCGGGATAATTCAAACCATCATTGACAGTGATGATAATGCCACATTCATGCTGCATGCTCCACGCGGCTTCTACCCTACCGCCCTGTGATGTAGAAGGCTAGGACCGCTGGTAACTTCTCTAATGCTATCCTCTCCGTTGGTGGCACGTCTAGAACCGAAACCCAGGCTCCTTGCTGTCAAAGCTGAGCCTCCGTGGGCTCACCAGCCGGTGAGCGTAAAGGCTGCGTTTCTAAGCAGCATTTAGAGTTGTTTGTTTGTTTGTTTCTCATTGCCAAGTTCATTAACTGAGAAATCTCTTTCAACGGTGTATTTCTATTTTCCGAGGAAAGGGAAGGCAGATTCTTTTCCTCTGACGTCGGTTTGCTCTCCATCATTTTCGTTTGCCCGTGCGGTACATAAACTCAAGGAGCCCTAACTCTGAAGCCCAGTGGTCATCAGCAGGTGACGTGGTGAGGGGGAGAGTATGCAAATGTGACAAGTGATGATAACGTGACTCTGTTTTGGAATCAGCAGGACTTTCAGGGTTCTGATTGCTGGCAAGTCACTGTGCCCACACCTCAAATAAGAAAATGAGGTCATGCTGCCAGGGTGGCTTCCGTCCATTTAGGGGGAACGGAAGGTTGCTGAGTTTTTCTATTCTGCTTCTGTGTAGACCTCCTGTTCCTCTGTTCTAGCAGAAGATTGTCCCAGCTGGGGAGGTGAGATGAGGAACGACTGTAAATCCACTTAGACCATATGTTGACTTTCAGAATGGGGTGATGACGTCAACCCATGCTTCAGAAACAGTCGGTTGCAAAGAAAGATGGTTTAACCAGAAACATGCGAAGACACGGAGGTCATACTCATTCACCCAGCCTGTGACACCCTCCTACTGCAACGGCCATCCGAGAAATGTTGAGTTATAGTTTTGGCTTTTTTTAATTTCCTCTTCAAGGTTGTTAAAAGTTGACTTTACCTAGATACAGGGTTTTGGGGTTCTTTTTTTTTTTTCTGTTGTTGTTGTTTGTGTTTTTTTTTTAAGAAATGAAGAAGGTCCAGAAACTTACTAGCTGCCCTTGTAAAAGTTGCTAAACTCCACCGAGCCTCGATGTTATCTCACTTCTCAGTGGGGATAATAATTGCACCCCGTCAAAGAGTTTTCGAGAGGATTTGGTGAGAAAACCTGTGTAAGGCACTTAGTCTAGTGCCTAGAGCACAGCAAAACTTGATCAATGATGAACCATGTTGGTTTCTTTAAAAAAAAAACTTTACCAATTAGTTGTGACTCTTGGACCCTGTACCCTCGCTTCACTGTCTTTAAGACATCCTATTGGCTTGATTTCATTTTTTTTTCACATGTTTTTACCTCTTCTTAAGGGCATTTGAGTACAGGATATGGTTAAGGAACTGAACCAGGATCTCCTCTGCGCTGGGGCCGTGTTCTAATAAACTGTCTAACTGTACTGGTGTGATGAGGGTGAATCAGGGTGACGAGCAATGAACCTGGGAATCCTGGCACTAGGCCTATCCCAGGTTTGCTGCTGTTGGTATAAATAGGCGTGGCCTCCAGGTGATGCGCTAAGGCACCACGCCCGAAAGGGAGGCGTTGCAGGGTTTTCCCTGCTAAGGGGAAGCAGCCCAAAGCGGATATCTTCCTCTTCACTGTGGGAAGATCACCAGGCACATTGGATGGACAGCCAGAGCCGGTGAAGGCAAAGTCCACCGACTGCGTCCCTGGAATAGCTGAGGATCTGCCCTTGAACTTCACAGATGGCGATTCCCTGAATGGAGGTTGGAGATGGCTCAGAAAGCGGCTGTGCTTTTTTACATCCTGGGATGGCAGGAGAAGACGATGAAGAGTAAATGCGACTTTTTGTTGAGAGCTTCCTCGCTGTGAGGCATTGCACCAAGTATTTTGGATGCATTAATCTCGTTTAATCCAATGACAAGTTAGAGACAGGCTCTATGACCCCTTCCGTTTTGTGGCTGAGGACATTGAAACTGAAGGACAGTAAATAATGTGCTCATGTTTACACAGTGAGTAGACAGTAGAACTGGGTCTAGGACAAGACCTTCGGATCCTAGAAGCTGTACCCTTAACCACCAAGCAAAAAGTCACTGACTTTTAACTGGACTCAGAAACACTGGACAAAGCATATTTCTTCAAGTGCAGGATCTGCGTCTTTGATGCGTTTCTTTGATTCTAAGTTCCCCAAAGGAAAGGGTCCAAGTCTTGTTAGAATTTAGTATCCCTGCACCTGGATTTTGGCCCACAGTTGATAAGCGATAAATGTTTGGCCGTTAAACTGACTGAGCTGGTACGTTCTGTGTGACAGTTTCTAAAAGCTAAACTTACAGATTAGGAGCTATTGCCACCTGACATCTTGCAAACAAACAAAAATCACTAACCTCTTTCAAGATTGGAATCGAATTCAGTCCAATTAAAAACCAACCCTTTTTCCTTCCTCCCTCCCTCCCTCCCATCCACCCACCCTTCCTTCCTTCCTGGCAAGATGTTGAAGTTAGAAGCACCGTCCTTTCCATCTATCTGTCATAAATGATTAAGCTTCATTGGTCACAAGCACCTGGCATGGTGTCTGGTATGATTTTGGGTGATGCTATAAGCACAGAGCCACAAAGTGAAGACAAGTCTTGTTGTTGGTCCCGAAGCCCACGAAGCAGCCAGAGAGAATCGCCCAGCATGGGGCCATCACCCTAGCCCGGAGTTTTATTCCTTCTAAGTCAGTATATTTTTCTGAGATGACCCAGGAAACTTCTGCAGAATTTGGAAACTAACGCATGCAGTTACAGTCAACAGTAAAAATTGCTGCCACGCTGGGTCACTGCTGTAAGGTCTTTGTCCCCACAAAAGACTTCAAACTAAATATGCGCTGTTTCTTAGCTCCGATGACTATGAAAGACTACGTGGGGTGGTGTAGGAACTTTAGCTATGGTGCAAAGCCGCCTGCTCTTCTGGACAAATGAAAGGGATAGAAAAATAT